CTCCCCCCGCATCCGCGCCACCGTCGACGCCGAGATCGCCCGGAGCACGGCCTCGATGCTCGCCGTGCCCGCCCGGACGCCGGCCTCCGGGATGAACACTGAGTACTTGGCGTGGTCCTCGGGGAGGTGCCACCTGTACTGCAGGTGCGCTGACGCCGGGTGGAAGAAGACCGGGATGCACCCGGCCACCATCGCGTCAAAAACCCACCGCCGCGTGTACGACGGGGGTGAGCCGCCTGGCGGTGGATGCAGGCAGAAGGTCGCGCTCTGGAGCAGCCGCATGGCCTTGACAGGGGAGTGGCAGTGGCCGTGGTCGGTCCCGGTGGCGCAGTCCGGGTCCGGCTGCAGGTGCCCACACGCGTCCGACGCCTTGCACTGGGCCATGACATGGTCGTGGATGGTCGCCGTTGCTGCGTTGTCCGTCCCCCGCGGCTTGTCGGAGACGAACGCCATGAGCCACTTCCGCTGCAGGCCGCGCACCCTGTCCTGCCACCCGAACACGTCGGCGTCTGTCCTGGGGTGGAAGTAGGTCGGGTACGGCACGGCGAACTCGCTCGCGTTCGGCGCCAGCGACGACTCCAAGACGAGCACCGACAGGTTCCGGCCGACCGGCCTGGCGAGGAGGTTCGTGCCCCAGTTCGGGCCGCCAGAGTTGCCGCCATCCCTCGCCAGGTCCCGCGCCGTCCTCCCGGCGACGAGGAAATTGTCGTGGCCATCCTGGGGCCGTTGCCGGTCGTCCAGGAACCGCCACTTGAGCCACTCCGCCAGGTCGACCGACGCGGCGTCCCGCGTCACGTTGTCTTGGCCGGCGTAGCGGGCGAAGTCGAGGGCGGCGTAGAACGGCACGAAGATGGCGGTGGCCACGACGGTGTGGTTGGTGAGGCACTCGTACCGCTTCATCCGGTTGTGGAAGATGATGTCGAGAGCGAGCTGGCGCGTGCCGTACCACCCGTCCTCACCGGTGAGGACGCCGTCGGCCGGGTCCGCGAGCGGCCGGCCGAGGCCGGCGTTGTCGATGGACTCGCAGATGCCCGCGGGCCAGCGCCCGCCGCCGTTGTTATCGCCGCGGCAGGCGTCGCGCGTCATGTCGGTGTTGAAGCGCGGTGGCAACGGGTACACGTGGATGTACCGTCCCCGGCACGGGTCGTCGAGCTGTGAGAAACGGTAGTACAGGAAGAAGGTTACCGCGAGGACGGCAGCGAAGCACAGCCGCCGGAATGAGCCGGCCACCGCCTTTTCCTTGGCTCCGACGACGGCCCGGCGCGGCCGCCCTTTGGCTGCGCCGGGTTTGGCTAGCTGACGCATCCTGAAGCGTGAAAATGGCGAGACGCTATTGACCACCAGTGCTGTAATTTGTGAACTGGTTGGTGGTAGTACTCGTAAAGATGGGATGCTACTATAGCCAATAGAAACATCGAACTGTCAGTCTGTGACTCGCAGACCACTTGTATAGTCGTTTGACCGAGAAGAGGGGATGCATGTATTCATTGCTTGTTTGATACTGCACCGAGCAGGACAGAGATTAGCGTTGACACCAGGGTGATAAATGCGTAGTCAGTATCTCCAGTTCTCCACGTTAATTTTTTTTGCGAGAAAGTATCTCCATGTTAATTTAATTGCCAACGGAGTAACCTGGTTTCGTCGTGCCATTTCAACCAAGGTTCGCTGCTACCAGTAGGTAGTAAGAAAAAGCTCGAGCGTTGTGAGCCACTGGAAATTGATCCTCGTTTGACTCAAAGATTTGCCTTCGTTTGCAGCTTGGATGAAAGTTAGCCTTAAGCCAAGGCTAGCTCACTCGACTTTTTTAATCGGCATATCATAATGTGTACATTAAATATTTTTTAATTGGTTGGGGTAGGGGGGGGGGGGTAAATTTGCATTCCAAAAGCCCAAATGACAGATGTTTAAATCAGAGACCTGGAGAGGAAGAAGAGGGATATGAGCACTCTCCCGTGTCTACACTGTCAAACTCTCTCATCGCTAGCACGGCGACAATCATCAGTGGGAAGATCTAGATAGCGACCACCGGTGACGACTATCCCTAGCGCTTCATCACCACTTCATTGACGGCGGTAACTCCTTGCCTGCCCGATTTATGCTCTGATTTAGACTTTGTTACTGCTTAGATTTAGGCTTTGATAGGGCTTCAATTTAGGGTTTAATAGGGCATCGATTTAGGGTTTGATTCGGTGATAGATCAATTTGATTTGGGGCCAGATCAATCGATTCAGTGGTGGACCATTTCAATTGGCGGTACATCAATGTGTTCTTCTTTGCCATGCAGTGGATGTATTAAGGCGACTGTTGGTATGAGGATTGGCTCTACACATTATAGTTATGATCCTTGTACCAACTCTCCCTTCTACATGATAGGATGCGTGTGAAGATCATCAACATTGTAATTCTGGTCCATGTTTAATATGCCTATGTTCTTCATTGCAAGACTCTGCCGACAAATTGGTACTCGGCAATGTTGCCCGAGGGCGTATGCTCCAAGTGCAACGATGTAGTAGAAGGCAATGCCTTCAAGAAGCATCGTGTGAGTCCGATGAATGTTGGCCACTTCCATGAGGAAGCATGTCCAACCCACTTCTACAAGGTGCTCTTAGCACATGGGTTGGATCTACTTCTCATCCTCGATACCTTCAGGAAGCACCTTGGCACCATCCCATGGGAGATCACTCTGAAGACGAATAGTGGTTTCTACTAGATGACGAGGCTCCGGGATGTCAATAGGAGGGTGGCCATGGATCAAGGTTGGCCTGGTTTCGCCATCGCACACAAGCTACAAATCGGGGTACTTCCTCATCTTCTAGGTCATGACCCCAGATGATTTCAAGGTCATCGTGTTCGACTGTTCGTGTGCAGAGGTGGTGATCAAGTGCTACCAGCATGACCCAACACTTCCCAAGGTCCAAGACTGAAGGCTTTGTAATCTCGTCGTCTTAGTGTCAATGTCCTTAACTTGTATTATGTGTAGATGACTGTGTATTGCACTTTCCACTGTTCGTTAAATGTGGTTAAATTTATCTATGCTTGCATGTGTGATGGGTGTTATTCCTATATCTATGTGATGATAACCTCGCACTAGAACAAGAGGTTACCACATCGCACTTGAGAACATGTAACCAAACACCAACACGTTTTGCATCTGTGGAGCACATACTTGTAAGTTGTAACCAAACGTCGTGCTTGTGTTTATGCTCTCATGCAGCATGTGGCTTTGTAGGCAACCAAGAGAAATGCAAAACATGGTTCAGAAATGTATTTGTTCAGTCAGACACTGAAGGGTGACGAGTGAACCGACATTGCAAACCAGTCAAAGTTGGTTACACTAGCTGTTGAGAAAGTTATCTCAAATGCAATTATTATGCATCGCCACCAAAGCAAAAGATGATGTGCTACTATAATTGAAGATGTGAGAAAAGAATTTAGTATCGTGTATAATGATATAGTAACATAGTGCATCACATATGAAACAATAGTAATAAATAGATCCCATAACTTTGTATTCGGTTTCTACAAATAAATAATGGTATTAGTCATCAAATGTATGATACTAGCAGACTAAGGCATAGTCTAGTGGTGGAAAGGGGCTGATGCCTTCCCACCCATCCAGGTTCAAGGCGCGGTACTTGCAATTTGGGTTTGTTGCACCAGTTATACTATAAGGGGTCCCCTTACAGTCTTTCTGTCAAAAAAAATATATGATACTATTCATCGAAGTCATAATACCATAAACTAATAGTATGACATTAGTCTATGACACTATCAACTGCGAGAGCTGGTGCTGAATTGTATAACTCAATCTAATGGATAACCCCATTTTTGGATGCAACTTGGCCACATGCATTTTTCTTTGATTAAAAGAGGGGATTCCCTTTGATTTCATTAACGAAACCACGAAAATAACAACATCCAGTGAAGTCTCAGGTCCAGATCTACTTAAAGTACTAAATCTAACAACAGCTAAAAAGCTTAAAGATTTAGGCGACATAACAGAATATAATCCACAAACGAAGGGACGCATTCCGACAGTAAACATAAAACCAGATCCTAAAACAAAGGTGACAGACACACGAAGCACAGGCCGCTGAAGAGGCAAGCAGATAGGGGAGGCCTGCATCCTGTCAACACCGTTGTGAAGACGAAGAGAAGATCACCTGCCGCTGGTTTTCCTTCAGTTATCCAGATTATGTACCTCTTGTCTCCACCCCTGCTATGCTCGATATATTTCACTTGTTACCCGCTTGATTATTCTTGCCCCCAACGTTGGTAGCTTTTGCTATGGGTTATTAATGTGCACAATAGACCAAACAACGATCCAGTTACACATTAGTCTTTCAGGGATCATGGGATCATGATTTTGTTTTGATCTAAAGATAATGTCATTTCTGCATTTTCAGATGGACCAGAATATGGCCATGCCGGGTTACTCGAGGCAACACAAACCGTTCAAAATTAAAAATGGAGGGCTTTCATTAACAAACAAAACCACACAAGAACATTAGTACTCTTTTCGATCCAAATTAATTGATGCAACTTAAAGTTATATCAGTATCCCGTCAATTAATTTAGATCGGAGGGAGTACTACTCTTATTCGCAAAAAAAACAAAAAACAAAAAAAAACATTAGTACTACTATTAGCGAGTTCGAGTCAATACGAGTAGCTCACACTGGCAATCCTCGAAGCTTTAGTTCGGTGGCATCAGCGAAAAGAGAAAAACGGGACACACACACATATGCCACACGATTAGCTGAGAGGCGTACGAGAACACGGGAAACGTCATACAGGACAAGGCATACATTTGTTACACAACGATCGATCACACGTACAACAATCGACACACAGACGCGTCTTGCAACCTGGACTGGCCGGGGAAAGTAGGTACGTAGTAGATGTCTAGAGGTAAACACAAATGTCTAACGATCGATCACGCGTACAGGGATTAACACAGACCTTGCAAGCTTGACTGGCCGGTGAGAGTGAGACGCACGCTTAGAGGTCGACGACCTTGAAGTGGCCTCGGTTCTTGACGACGACGTCGTACATGTGGACGGAGCGGAACCGCGCAAAGTCTCGCGGCAGCGAGATGAGGTCGAGGCTGCCGTCGCGGCGGTGGAGCTGCACGACGGCGCGGTCCTCGTAGTAGCGCTCCCATCCCAGCAACCCCAGCCGCCGCTCCAGCGCCCGCAGCGACCGCATCGTCTCGTTCGCCGGCACGTACACCAGCGCCTTCCGGCTCGACACCTCCCGCTCCAGCTCCATCACCCCGTCCTTCCGGAACACCCACACGCCGCCCGCCGCCATTGATGCGGTACCGCTCTTTCTGGCTAGCTCTAGCTACGCACGCGGCTCCTGCAGGCTGCAGATGAGTGCGTGCGTGAGTGAGGCACATGTCTAAATATAAAATCGCCGTCGTCACCATTGCCGTTGCACGGCGGAGTACGTACCAATAATGCAAGGCAGTAAGTAACGTGGGCCAGCGTATGCACAGGAGGTCGAAGGGCTTCACGTGGACGCTAGAGCTAGCTAGCTGCAGCAAATTTACCCCGGCCCAATCCGGGCAACGTTTGTAGTTTCCAATTCGAGCCGCGCGGTACAAATTATATACCAACTTCCGCCACAAGCCGGCGAGTCGACAGCGATATCATTGCTCCTGAGCGATGCTATTCTTAGCGCATCTCCGATGCCCGAGCTTAGTACCACCCGTAATGGTTCGGACCATGCGGTTCATATGTGTTTTGTCATTTAACACGGTTCTGCGTCGCTCCACAGGCAGGCCTAGACATGTTTTTCTGCAAGTCCAAGACAAATTGAAGATCTTTGCTGGTGTTCCGAGCGCTAACACGTTCGCTCCTAACTACCCTGACCAACCCAAAAACCTTACCCTTGCCCGCGTGCGTTCCCGTCTGAAAGATCAGTGCCACATTCATGCCGGCTCAGAGCATTGCGACCTCTCAGAACGCTCAATATTGAAACCACACGCCGGCCGAGAGCGCTGCCCGCGCCGCTTCCCGGTGCATGCAACTACCCGCGTTCAAATGACAGCCCGTCCGTCCGCTTGCCTACATTTAACATGTGTGCGGCTGCCGAGGAACGGCGAGCCGGTGCCACCTGCCCGTCTATCTGCCGCCCGCCATTAATCACGACGCCAGTTGCCCTGCCATCACTACTTGGAAAGAGCTTATAGGTGAAACCAAATGAGTGGCGGACGAGGCGGGGCACCCGCCACAACTATTTTTGAAAACCAGCAGTGGCGGGTGCTAAAAGGAGCTCGCCACGGCTACACAGGTAACAGTAGTGGGCACGGCCGGAGATCCGCCATAGCTATGCAATTTCTAATTCCTTCATGGGTGATAAGCAGCTGTGGCGGGCAGCTACTATTGCCCGCCACCGCTACATTTGGGTACCCACGCACCAAAAAATTCAAATCTTTTCAGAGCGCGGGTGGCGGGTTCTTATTGTCGCCCGCCACAACTTTTTTCTCGAATACGCACGAGTGTGTGTACTATATATTAAAGGAGAAGAGCCAAGACGGCTTATACAATGCCTTACGACAAGGTGCTACCCCTAGAGGTTAGTACCAACATCCACCATGACAACATCGGCAACTAACCCGCCTTGCCCCAACTCAAGCCAAACAATGGCGAAGAGGACGGACACAGAGCACACGGGCTGCGTCGCCCTGTACCAAACACCACAAAACACGACAAAAACACCTAACCAAACTAGATCAACGCACTCTCCACCCTTGGTGCCTAGAGGATCGACGAGCGGACAACGGGAGCTAGCTTGACTCGAAGAAGATGCCGTCGAAGAGGTGTCGATGATGGAGTACATAGCGCCCCGAATGCTCATGCCCACAACAACAACCTGGACATGGCAACTTGGCACCCAAGCCTCACCGCCGAAGCGAGCGAGGCAACCCACCAGCTGCTTCTCCGGATGCACCCCGAGCACCTAGGCAGCGCCTCCAAGAAGGGAACGGCGCCGAGACGCCGCCGTTGCCTGGCTCGGAGAACCAAGCCTGGGGTTTCCCCTGGTGACAGAACAGGGGATGGACACGGCCATGACAACGCCCCCAAGGAGGAGACGGCGCCCACAAGCGTCACCGTTGCCCGCAGCCGCAGCCGCGCCAGTTTTCTCCTCGGCCCTGTCCATCGAATTGTGGAGCGCAACAAACTGGAAGGGGGGGCAAAGCTGTCACCTTGGGACATCACCGTGGAGAGGGGGAGCCGGATGCCGCTGCGCCGCCAACCAGCGAGTCCACCATAGCCCTATGTCGAGGAAAACCAGGGCCTTCATCCACCCGCTATAGACCCACCGCCCTCGCGGCCAGAGCATGCAGCGCCGCCGCTAGGACACCGCAGCCCAAAAGCCATGATGTCTGGCCATCCATCTCATTGCTCCTCCACCCGGGAAGAGGAGGGCGAGTCCACCGCAGCCTGGGGCCGCCGCCCCAGCGTACCAGAACCGGAGCAAAGATGGGAGCCTCGATGCCACCCACAGCCGAGGTGGCCAGATCAGGCCGAGCAAGAGCAGGCCGACCGCGCAGCCCTTCGTGCCAACAGCGCGCTGCCAGCCCCCGCGCCGCTCCCACTCCCCCCGACCACCACCGAGCCGCCCAGCCATGGCCAGCACGCCAGATCTAATCCACAACGCCGCCACAACGAATCCTCCACTGATCCCCGCCAGAACCGGCTGTCGCGCTACCCCAATAGCCACAGAAGCCAGCGCGCCACTGCCAGGTCCCAGGGTCGCCGCCCCGGCGTCACCCGCCACCGGCCGGACGCCTCATCCAGGGCCGAGCGCCGCGCCAATGGGGGATCTCCCCGCGCAAGAGGAGAGGGCCCGCCGCCACCGGCCACCGCACGGGCTTTGCCCACCGACGTTGCCCACCCCGGCAGCAATGGGAGGGGCTGGAGCAGGGGGAGCGGCGGCGGCACTAGGGTCTGCCCTAGCCGCCCCTGGGAGCGATGCATGCGCAGGGCACTCGGTTGCCACTCCCCGTAAATAAAATCATCGCCCGCCACAGCTATATTTGCTCACGTTGGTGCCTACCGCGCATGTACTATGGTGGCGGGTTCTGCCCTGCACCCGTCACTGTTATACGTGCCCTTATCCACCGAATCCCCACCCGCAACAGTTAGATCCCATTCCCCCACCTTTCTCCACTTTGTCTCGTCGTCGCCAACATTGTGGCGTCGTCCGTTGCCACTGGCAGGTCAAGGTCTGCCGCCTCGAGCGGCGCCGAGTAGCCAATCTTCCTCGTCGTCTGCGTAGTCCATCCCCGCCTTGAAGTTCGTTGGCGTCGCTATGCAAAGCTACCTTGGACTACTTCCCCATGACTGTCGCCCGCGCCTTCCTCCGCATCCAACGTCATCCTGATCTCCGTTGAACTCGTCGTCCGCCGATGCCTCCGCCATCGACCTCGGCCTCGTCTCCATCGAGCCCACCCTTTGACTCCGGCCCGGTAAGCACACCTCCCTTCTCCCTGTTAATGATGATTGTATTAGTGTAGTTAAAATGTACTGCATATGGATAAAAATATAGTACAACATTATATTAGTAGCTAAATTTTGTTGTATGGTGTACCAATGAATATTCATAAGTAAATGTCTAGAAATTGAATGCGTGTGCTACACAAAATGTACTACATATGAATGAACAAATAGTACATTATTTTTTCATGGTGCAAGGTTATTCATAGTGAGTGCCAATGTTTTTGCGAAGCATGGATTAAGTTTCGTTTCACTTAATTTCTCGCACTCAATATGTCCAAACTTTTTCAAAGGTCATGTTGTTTTTCCCATAAACTTATTATTTATTTACGTACGAGCTACTTACGAAGAACATCTAAATGTTTTATTTAAATGTCAATTTTTTTAATGTGATTTAGATGTAGAAGGCAAGACGTCTTGTTAGGACTCGTGCATCCATAGACGGAATTCCTACTGCCGTAGACATCACCACGAGGGTGGCTTAGTGCACAGAGATCATACTCGCCTATGTTGAGAGTGCTTGAGCAGCCACCGAGAGCGCTCAGGCATATCCCGAGAGTGCAAGAGCAGCCGCCGAGAGCACTGTCGGATTCCGGGCTCCGCAAACCCAAGAAAGGTTCGAACACTAGGGCGCGTGCGAAGAACTCGACCTCTCCAGCCGATAGACTCGCTGCCCTCGCAACTTAGCTCGATGAACATGAAGGAAATGGACACGGCAGTTTATCCAGGTTCGGGCCACCTTGCGGTGTAAAACCATACTCCTGATTTATGGTGGATTAGCCTCGTGGGGGCTGAGGATGAACTAGTACAAGCGGAAGAATAGCCTCAGGAAGCTTGTTCTTGTGGTGAGCTCTAGGGATTTGGTCTCCGGGGGTCCGATCCCTTCTATGGTGGTGGCTAGGCTATATTTATAGTGTCCTTGGTCCTCTTCCCCCGAAACTTAGGCGGGAAGGGATCCCATAGGGGCCAATTGTGAAAGGGGGCAAGTAGTACATCTTATCCTAACAAAAGGTGGTATTCGCCTGCAAAGCTTCTGATCGTGACGTTGCGGTGGGCTCGACAATCACATCCATCCTGCCGTTCTGGCAGTCCTAGTCTCGTTGCACGCAAACGGGAACCTTTCGTTGATTCCTTGGGACTCTGTACCTACGCTTGCCTCCTTAGCACCAAAGAGGAAACCTGCCGCTCTGCGCCCGCTGGCGCGCACCTGGCCTTGGTCGTTATGGGTGGTGTCACCTCAGCCTCATGAGGTAAGTGCTTGCATAGAAATCTCCGCTCCTCAGGAGGCCGCCTGGGGAGGCCGCTCCTTCAGGCGACCTTAATGTCGTCTGCCTCGTGAGGCTTGGCCCCTCGAGAGGGTCTTGTCTTGTCATGGTTGAAGATGGGTCGTACCAGGCCGTCAATGGAGCCATGCTGTGAGCCGCAGGCAGGCAAGTCTTGGTACCCTGGTTCCCAGAACACCGACAGTAGCCCTCGGGCCCAAGGCGCGCTCGCACTTGGCTTCGAGGCGAAGTGAAAGGGCAAGTGCAGAGCACTGCGGGCCCCAATCACCTGCATACCGAGTCGACGCGTGGCTCTTGATGGGACGTGGTCATCTCCGCTTCCCCATGCTGCCTTGGCAACCGTTTGACTTGACAACTGCCTGCTGCATGCAGAGAAAGACCATCATTACTCGAGATCGTGGGCGGCCAACGATTGACCTTCCTTCAGCTATAAATGCAGGAGCGGGCGGAGCCCCCTGCTCATCTTCGCCCTCTCACTTCTTCTTGATACGCCATCTTGCTGGAGCATCCATGGCACCGATCA